ATATGGTCGGTCGTAGGGCGAGCATTGCGGCGGAGGCGGCTTTGGTGGAGAGAACGGACTGTCCGGAACTTGGGCCGGTGGGGAGTTATCTGGTTTCGCCGGAATTCTCGACGGCGGCGTCGGTGCTGGTTATTCAGAGATATGATCCCAAAGTGGGGACTGAGGATTCGTTGGCGCAGATTTATGACGCGGCGGACTCGCCGTTATCCGCCGCTACGCCGGAGGCTTGCGACCATCTTTCAGCATAAATTACGACCGGTTTGCTGTAAATTAAAATAAATTTGAAGGATTATTTACGTACCTAGCGCCTAAATCTTACGTACAAACGTATGAACCACCTAAATTTTAATCACTGAAAATATAGGAATCAATGGTCTGTATTTAAAATTGAAGTTTGGATGGTTGATATGTTAATACATAAGAATTGGGTGGTATGTAAATTATGTAAATGCCCCCAAAATAAAAATGTTAAGATGCTTAAGCTAATGGAATTCTTCAGAGCTTGCTTTTCAATCTTCGATTTGCCATTTTGTACACATAAAGGCTAGTTATTATTTACTTTGTTGTCAGCTTTTGTATGGTTATAAATTATAAAAGAAGTATTACTGATTTAGATTAGTGGAGGATGGATATTACACATGAAGGGGGCATTTACATAAATATCACCCCATTTTTTTATCAATACCATATTTTGCACCTAAAATATTATTTTACATATCTATAAAACATAATTAAATTAGTTCATATATGATTAGAATAAGTAGTTGTTGTGATCTCTCTCAATTCTCGTTATTTTTCATATATGATTATTTTACACATAAATAATTCACAATCATTTTTCATAAGAAAAAATACTGATAGATCATTATTTTATCGACTCCTTTTTACGTAGATCTATTGCCTCACGAATGAATCTGTAAATCCTAATTAAGATCATTGATGTCAAATTAGCCCCACGTTTTATGGAAAAAGGCAATTAGTTCGATAATTATCGTCATCACCCGATAAGAGAGTTGTAAAACACTAACTCTAATAGCCTTTAGAGTATCCATCAACTCAGAAAACGGTGGAAATCCTAGGGCAGCTCATAGTTGTGCCTTTTAAATCACAACATTTTTGGGAGGAGGTGAACAGGCTCGGTTATTAAGAGCTGGTAATTTCATAACTTGTCATTCAAAAAGTAGAACTTTTTACAAAAAAATATTAGACCATCCTCTGCAAGATTCAGTATTGTCTTCATAAGTCAGGATTCCTCAGACATTAGCATCTCAAAGAGCGAAAAATCTTTACCATAAAGGGTAACGATAACAGAGAAGGAACAACACAATAACTTGCCAAGAAACTTTGGGGTTGCACAACACCAATGTAGAAAAAGGCACAATAGGCCAAGGAATTCTGGAGTTGCACAACACCAGTACAAAAGGAGGTTTAACAACAGAGCAAGGGACTCCAAGTGACATTGCATTTTGAGAATGAAAAGTGTGCATTCTATTTTCCCTTTTGGGTTTATTTATAGGCAAAAATTAGTTAGAATGATGTCAAACTAAAATAAATTCAAAATTTTGTGGCTTCTCAGCCCTGTGATCACACTTGCAAAGGTGAGCAAGCATATGCACTTGCGTGTGCATGGATGCATGTGATTTCGTGATCTATTCAAAACCACATTGCCCGACCTGGACAGCTTTAGCCCGGTGCGTGATCCGTTTTGGGCTCAATCAAACTTGCTCTGACTTGCTCACCTATTGTCGCCTACACCTAGAAGGCCAATCTGACTGGTCTCGACTTGTAAAACCTCCTTATCCGCTCCATCATGCAACACAACATGACCCGTGATGACTCGTGCAGCTTGTTCCGACCCACGCGATTTTCTTCTGCACTTTAAACTAGCTATAGACGGCCTCCACTGGTCAAATACCAAAATTTTCAAATTTTATTGTTTTTTTTTTTATTTTCAGATGATATGAATTAAATCGCTCAAAAATAAGGTGATAATTGATACGTCACCATAAATTTTATAATTTAACATGAATCTTGATGTATTTTTTAAATAAAAAAATGTTCGTATTCAAATTAAAGATCATCCAAAGTTCATATTTCAACAAACTTATAATAAAACTTTTGTCTTGGCAAGAAGAACCCAATTATACCTAAATTAGTCCAAATCGAGTTCGGTCAAGTCTGGATCAAGCCATTAACCCAAATTTAGAAGATTTGGGTAATTAATTGGATGATCAAATGAACTCCAAATTTGACGTACTTATCGTCAAATTGAGGACCTCGACAACAAGAATTCAACCAGGAGAAGATCACTCCATTTTCAACAAGAATTCCCCCAATTCTCACGAAGTTCCGAGTCATTCAGTGCAAAGAAATATCTGACAGACTAGTATCTTATATGCTCATTTTTACATACATCCAATACCTTACTCCTTAAGGAAATATGTCGTGTGTATCACTAACGAACTCTCCAATCCTAGCTAAGATCTAAAGCCAACCTAGCCCCACATTTTCTTTAAAAGATGATTAGCTCGATAATGATTGTGATGATCCGATAAAAGAGCTGCAGAATGCTAACTCAGGAACTAATGGAAATCCTAGGTCAGCTTACAGATGTGCCTCGTAAATCACGTATCTAAGAGGAGGTGAACAGACTTGGTCATTAGCAACTAGTAATTTCATCGCCATGCCATTAAGAAGGTATAACTTTTTTCCAAAATAATATTAGGGCATCCTCTGTAAGCGTCAATATTGTCTCTTCAGGCCAGGGTTCCCCAAGCTTGGCATCTTAAAGAGTAAAAAATCTCCCAAAAAAAAAATGCGAAAACAACGCAAAAGGAACAACAAAACATGTCAGGAGACTTTGAAGTTGCCAACAACATCATAGAAAAAGACACAATAATAGGCCAAGGGATTTTGGAATAGCACAACACCAACACAGAAAGAGACAAAATAATAGGGCAAGGGACTCCAAGTGAGATTGCTTCCTGAGAATAAAATGTTCCTTCTCACTTCCCTTTTGAGTCTATTTATAGGCCAAATGTATGTTAGAAAAATGCCAAATTGAAAAAATTCAAATTTTTGTGGGTTCATAGTTCTTTGGTCGTGCATGCAAACATGAGGAAGCACTCACACATATGTGTGGGCGGATGTGTGTGATTTCACGAATAGTTTCGCGAATAGTTCGAAACCCAACTGCTCGACCTGACTCGCTTTGGCCTTGTGTGCAATCTATTTTTAGCCCAATCCAACCTGCTACAACCCGCTTAACTATCTTCGTCCACATCTCGCTGCCCAACCCGACCAGCCTCTACCAACGAAACCCCCTCACCCTTTCGTCACATGATGCACCATGACTCGGTAAACCCACGAAAAGAGGCACAATAATAAGCCAAGGAATTTTAAGTGACACTGCATCCTGAGAATGAAAAGTGTGCCTTCTCACTTCCTTTTTGGATCTATTTATAGGACAAAAATTAGTTATAAAGATGCCAAATTGAAAAAATTCAATTTTTTGTGGGTTCGCAACCATGCGATCGTGCATGCAAATGAGAGGAAGCACTCACACGTATGTGTGGACGGATGCGTGTGATTTCGTGAACAGTTCCACAAACATATTAGAACCCCACAGCCCGACCTGACCAGCTTTGGCTTAGCATGTGATTCATTTTCGGCCCAATCCAACCCGCTACAACCCACTTCGCCCACTTCTCGTTACCCAACGACCAGCCACTACCCGTGAAACCTCCTCGCCCACTCTGGCACGCAATGCACCATGACTCAGTTGACCCACGACGGCCCACGTGTTTTTCTCCAGCACGTTTAGTGAGTCCCCACAGGCGTCTACCGCCCCCTCCAGCCAAACACCAAAAGTTTCAAATTTTTTATTTTTTACTATTTTCATATGACATGAACTAAATTACTCAAAAATAGGGTGACACGTGATATGTCATCAATAATTTCATAATTTGGAACGAATCTAGAGGTATTTGTTTAGCAAAAAAAGATCATACTCAAATAAAAAATATTTGAAAGCTCAAATTTCAACAAATTTATAGTCAAACTGATTGTCTTGACTACACGAACCTAACGATACCACAATTGTTCCAAACTGTGTCCAATCAAGTATTGATCAAGCCATTAAACCACATTTAAAGGCTTTAGGTAATTAATTGGAGGGTCAAATGAACTCTAAATTTAACGTACTTATAGTTAAATTAAGCATCTCGACGACAGGAATTCAACAAGCTCGATATCACTCAATTTGAGGTATTAATGCACTTAAATCATAAGAAAATGTTATGATCAAGATGATCAACGCGAGCCATTCGATCAGGTAAATCATTAGAGTTATTGGTGAAATAACCAAAATGCCCCTCTCCTGAAGCCTGTAAATACATCCCACGTCGTCACTTGAGGTGGAGAAGGAGAATGAATGAGTCAAATTTCTGTGTTATTATGAACTAAGGGCTCGATAATAACTTCCAATCTTCATAGCCGTCGAACACATCGATCGTCCTTCGCCGGCGACTATCAACCGCCATGAGTTGCCTCCTGCTTGTGCAACAAAGTATTCTGAATGAAGTGTTACAAAATATCTTGTATACATAATAACAAATAATGTTGATCCAACAATAACTTCTAGTGTGAATACTTTAAACTGCCGTACTTAAAATATAATGACTTTCTTAAAACCTCTAAAGTGCTCCGTCCCATTATTTACGGATAAGTGTTGTAGTTGATATAGCTTCGTAACCCCTCTTTTCTAATTGTAAAATAAAAGTGTATCTTTATAATTATACATTTATCGTATAATATTTTCTTTAGGCTTGATCCAGTGATATTTCTTTTTTCTTTCCAAGTTTGTCCACATAAAAAAATTATCTTCTTCAACTAATTTTTATCATATTTATGTTCGATTTTCATATAATACTGACACGTCAAATTATCATTATATCGCCGCAAATCTTCCAACGCGCAACAATATACATATCATATTTTTACTCGCATTTAATTTTTTTATATTTACCACTCTATTCTTATTTATTTACATATTTAACATCTAAACTTCAATATATACATATTTGTCACATTAACTATACTTAAAAAGATGTATTTCACTTCATAAAAATTAAAATAGTTATATTTTCCATGAGATATGAAATATAGAGACGGTACAATTAAAAAAAAAAGATAAAATTTAGATGTTAGATACGTAAATACATGATAATTGGATGGCATTTATGTAAATCCCCTTAAAACTAAATTTAAAATATCAGATATATAAATGTATAAGGTCTATGTGCTTGTATGTAGGGGTAAATGCCCCCCATTACAATTAAATAAAAAAAAAATAGAACAAAAAAAAAAGCACGTAAAATATAACCTCCACACGTCGTCTCCACTTTTCTCGACGCGCGTCCGTTATTCGCCGGCGGCGCAGCGTTCCGGCCACCGCATCTTCCGGAGCTAGGTACTGCAACAATAGCCATTAGCCAGCCCATTCATTCTTCATTTCCACACATTCTTCTCTCTCCCGCTCCTCCAAACCCTTTTTTCTCGGACAATTGTCCTCCAACTTTCTTCCATCTTCTTCTCTCCTCCTCCCAATCTTCTCTTCCCTGATCAGACCGAACACTCCTTCTGATCCATCAATGCCTCCATTCTCGGAGATTAATCTAAATCAATGTTCTGTAGATCCCAATTTGAAGAATCCGGTACTTCATCTTCCCTTCTGATGCCCGATTAACCTATACCAATACACGATTTCGCAGATCTTCCCGGCGGCAGGGGATAAATGGAGAACGAGGAGAGAAAACCTTCCAGCTGTGGGTTACTCGTTCTCTACAACGCCTTCTTCCGCCGCCGTGCCGGATCAGCCCCGGCCTCTCCTCGCCGTCCATCCCCCTCCCCTTCTTCCTCCAATGCGGATTCCCTTTCCGGCGTAAGCAGCCATTATTCCAAGCGTCGGCGTCCTGGCTCCGATCAAACCCCCATCGCCCTACCACCCAAGCCGATCAAACCCCCATCGCCGTACCACCCAAGATCCTCGTCTCCCCCAAGACCGCCGGTGCAGCGCTTGCTCAGAATCCACCAAACCGTCAGTCCGCCGGTCGCGGTGCACGGCCGCGAACCACCAGCGGGATATCGATGGATCTCGACAGCATGATCTACGATCACCAACGCGCCAAGGGGAGCAACACCCTTGTCCGCGCATCCTCCGGCAACGTGATGCTGTTCAGCAATCTGGGCAATCTCCGAGCTCCCGGAGCCGCCGCTCCCAACCGAAATGTACTCGACTATCTCCCCAAGACGGCGAAGGAGATGGAGTCGTCGGCGAGGGGTGGAGGAGGGACCAGCCCTGAGTCTGCGAGTACGAATCCGGCGACCATGTGCAGGGCGGTGTCGAGGAGGCTGGATCCGGAGGAGCTGAAGGAGATGGGGAACGAGGAGTATAATAACGGGAGGTATGGGGAGGCGGTGGCGTTTTATGATAGAGCTATATTGATTGATCCGAAGAAGGCTGCTTACCGGAGCAACAAGGCGGCGGCTATGATCGGACTCGGCCTTCTTCTTGAAGCTTTGCATGAGTGCAGGGAGGCTATCAGGATCGATCCTTCCTATCTCCGGGCTCATCATCGTCTTGCCAATCTCCATCTCAGGTTACCCCCTCCATCCCCTTCGAGCATATATGTGAATAATTGAAATTAGCTTTCTTAGAACATATGTTGGAAATTATTTTATTTCATTTTTTTTTTTATATTCTACATGAAATAAAAATATATTGAAAATTGCAAAAAAAAAAAAAAAAAAGAAATAAGGTTAAATTTGTAAAATAATAATAATTACTGCTTTGAATTGCTGTAATATCAAATAATATTGACTAAGAATCACTTTAGTTAGGAAAGCTGGGGAATGTGTAGTTAATATTATGATTGAGTCGTAATTTAGGCTAAATACTAACAAATAATTTTCCAAACGACATAAATCCTATCATTTTTTAAAAAAAAATTATTTGTAGTTATGAAATATTGGAATTAATAATTTCTAAAAAAAATAAAATATTTGCATCACTGCATCTTTTTCTTTCAAATCTTATATTTAAAAAATAAATTCCTAAAATAGTCTAAACTATATAGAAGACCTCGTTTAGTTTTAGAATTAATACAACAAAAATAACAAGCTTTTATCCCACTATATAAGGTCAATTACATTAATTTGTTTTCCTCCATTACTGCACAGGGGCAAAATGTCTAAACTATATTAGATATTTTTTATGCATACCCGTGTCTTTTTTGGTCTACTTTTATCTTTCTTAATATAAGTCAAATCTAAAACATCTATTCTACTAGTCGAATCATCAGATGACATATATTTAATGTGATCAAATCATCTAAGACGACTCTCCCTAATCTTGTTTGCCATTGGAGCTACACCAACCCTTTCATATATATATTCATTTCGTATTTTGCCTCTAAGGGCCTATTTGGGGCAGCTATCACTTCTCAGCAGCTTAGTTGCTCCAGAAAGCTATTACGGGGAAGCTGTTGTTGGGAAGCTTGCAAATTGTTTGTTTCAGTTGGTTGAAAACAACTGCTTCTGGATAAATGACCATTTTACCTCTATGTAGTAATTTTGATTATAACAGAACTATCATTAGCCTTATAATTAATACTTAAAAAGTATAATTTCACTTCAGAATAGTATAAAAATTTAGATACACGTCATTTAACTGCAAGTTGAATTTGCTAAAAGAAATACTTAAAAAATTAGTGAAAACAGCTCTTGAATTTGCAAAAAGAAATACTTAAAAATTACACTTATAAATTGCGTAAAATTATTATACCAGCAATATAAAATGTAAAGTACAAATACATTTCAATAAAAGAAATATAGAGTTGAATGCTCAATATATATTACGAATGTTAACAATTTTTTGACAAATGAAATGAATTATACATAGGACTGAATAAATTACAAATAGTCCAATCAGTCTCATACTAACGCATCAATGATTTGCTCTCGTAATATTTTTTTTGTCACCCTTTGTTATTGAAATAGGTAGTAGAACTATTTTTTCAGATCGATCTCCTTATTAACACCAAAAGTCACAAAATATTATTTTCATTTTTTTTCCCACATTGTCAGCGTGACAGTTTCTTTGTTCTTATTAGTCATTGTATTACTACAGTGAAACAAAGTAACGTAACATAACAAAACAAAGAATGTAAAGAAAAGTAAATGAAAAGTGACAGCAACACGGCCACCCCAAGCCACATCCACAACCCCATGTCACATCCACAAACCCCATGCCATAGCCACCCCACTCAACATCCACAACGCCATGCCACATCCACAAACCCCATGCCACAACCATCCCCAAGCCACATCCACAAACCCCACAAACCCCACAAACCGCATGCCACAGCCACTTCCTTAAAAATGACCCCTTGAAAAAAAACTAAACAAAACATGCATAAACTAGCAAGAAATATGGCTAGAAAACAGACAAAAATAGCACTTCCGAATGCAACCTATATGATGCATAGTGTGAACACATGCAACTAAATTTCAGGAATCACATATCCGAAGTCACTAAATAATTCAATCACTGCTTTTTCTGTAAATAGGCGAAATTTTAATTGAAATTATTTTCATATACATGGACTTTCCAATTATCTCCGATTTTGCTCACAAGGATGATAATATTAGCAGCAAAAAGGGAAACCATATCCCTAGACAGAAAACAATATAACTTTTGCTGCCTGTTTAACACCTCAAGCAATGGTATTTAGAAGGTGAATTACCTGGTTTATGCTAGGCAACCGAATAATCTGGAAACAAGTTAATCAAATCCATCCAAAAGAAGCCCATTAAATCCAAAAACATACCAACAGTCCAAGGGTTCATCTTCGCCAGATGCTAGGGCAGAAGAGGCTTCGCAAGATGGTGGGGAGTGTGGGGCAATAGAAGTATTATTTGATCGATAACGCTGCGCCGCGGGGTAGATCCCGCGGCCCGCGTTCCACCTAATTTAACTGCGAGCGGCCGTGAAAGGGGCATTGAAAAATAATAATAATAACGTCGGGGTTTGGGTCACGCCGCGTGAAATAAGCGACCCCAAACGGACCCTAAGTGTAAAGCCCTCATCCACCTGAGCATTCTCCTCTTAGCACCACTAAACTTAGTTTTATGCTTCTCTTTCATAGGCCAATATTTTGCGCCATAAAACATTATAGTTCTCACCACCACATTTTATACAACAACAACAAAGCCATAGTCTCACTACGTGGGGTCGGCTACATGAATCCTTTTTCTCCATTGCGTCCTATTTAGTGTCATACATTCATTTAGTTCTAATAAATTTAGATCATTTTTTGTACAATAAGCCCAGGTCTTCCTAGGTCTATCTCTGTCTTTCTTAATACTAGTTGAATCTAAAAAATTTACTCTCCTAAACGGATCATCAGATGGTCGACGTTTAATGTGATCAAACCATCTAAGACGACTCTCTCTAATTTTGTCCGTCATATTTTATAGAAATGCAAAAATAATCAACCACTTTTTTTAAAATTGTGCTCTAATAACTTCTCCATGGAATCTATTTTTGCCTCAATTTAAAGTATTTGGAAACTATTTAGACACTCCTATAAATTCTAAGACTAATATAACCCCTAGAAACTATTTCGTAACTTTACTCCTTAAAAATAAAAAAGATTTACCTAGATAACACTTAATTTCTATATATTCACATATCTACCACCTAAACTTTAAATTTTACATACATGCCACCTTACCAATATACGATAAGATTGTAATTTCACTTTTACTGCTTAATATAGTGAGATCTTTTATGTCATATGAAAAGTTTGGATGGTATAATTAGAGAAAATAAAGTTCAGGTACTAGATAGGTGAATACATAGGAATTATTGGGCGGTATGTATCTAAATGCCTGAAATATCTATCACAGACTTATGGGGAATTAAAATATATTTCACACAATTCTTATGCATTTATATATCTAACACCTAAACTTTCTTATTTACATGTGTACCATCAACCATCGCCATCTTTTTAAAAGTAAGTACATGACTTGCACCAAAATGTTATAAGTGCAAATATCAAATTTTGAGTGTTAGATAAGTAAAAACATAAGAATTGTATGCTATGTATGTAGGTTTCCCAATAATATTTTATGCTCGCAATGTTGATTTCTCTTGAAAATGTGTAGATTGGGTGAACCAGAGAAAGCGGCAAACCATTACAAGCTAGCGAAGAGCGAAGCCAGTTCTGATGACATCTGTAGAGCAAAGGCCGTCCAAGTCCTTATTGGCAAGTGCTCTGAGGCAAGGAAATTGAAGGACTGGAATACTGTAATCAGAGAGACTCAGTCTGCCATTTCTTCCGGTGCTGATTCAGCCCCACAGGTTCACTTCCTCATTCATTAATTCTTCAAAGATTTGCAAATATATAAGGCTGTCAACAAAGTCCGTGTTTGGTCCGTTAAATAGTTTGTGTTCGAATCATTTGTTAAGTAAGCGTGCCGAACACGAACAAATTTTTTAAGCTTGAATTATAAATGAGCCAAACATGAATAACCCTTTGTTTGATCGTGTTTGACTTGTTTCAGCTCGAAATAAAAAGATTATATATATATATTTAAGTTTAAATTATAACACCTAGTGTAGTTATGTAGTTCTGTGTCTTCTATATGTTACATCTATTTTTTCTAGTTAATTTAAATGAGCAAATTCCGAGGTGAACATGAGCCGAACACAAATTAAGTCGAACACTTATGCACTGTTCACGAGCAATTTCAAACACGAGTCAATTTTGAATGAGCGGAACATCAGTCAAGCTTAACCTCGCTCAAACTCGTCTCGTTTACCATCCTACATATATACCATTCAATTTCTATGTAATTACATATCTATCACCCAAATTTTAATTTTTACCTATACATGTCCTTAACTATGTATGAAAAAAAGGCGCTTTTCACTTTTTAAAATGTTAAAAGAGTGATACTTCTCATATGATATGAAAGATTTGAGTGGCATTAATGTAAAAATCAGTTTAAGTGTTAGGCATGTAGGTAAATGCCTCTTCTTCAAAATATTTATATACATAACACTCAATCCCTACGTAACTACATATCTAACACCCATACTTCAATTTTCGCCTATATATCACCTTAACTATGTATGAAAAAGGGGTATTTCACCTTTTAAATGTTAAAATAGTGGTATTTTTTTATATAATTCAAAAGATTTGAGTGGTATTAATGTAATAATCAAAGTTTAGGTGTTAGGCATGTAAGTAAATCCCTTCTTTGGAAGATTTACATACATACCACTCAATCCTTACGTAACTACAGATCTAACACCCAAACTTCATTTTTTGCCTATATGTCGCCTTAACTATGTATGAAAAAGGGGTATTTCACCTTTTAAATGTTAAAAGAGTGGTTTTTTTATATAATAAGTAAGATTTGAGTGGTATTAATGTAAGAATCAAAGTTTAGGTGTTAGGCATGTAAGTAAATGCCCCTTCTTTGAAAGATTTACATGCATACCACTCAATTCCTCTGTAATTACATATCTAACACCCAAACTTCAATATTTACCTATTTGTCTGTATGATAATGTGTATTTTACTTTTTAAATGTTAAAATTGTAGTATTTTTTATATGATGTTAAAGATTTGAAGGGTGCAAAGTTTAGGTTTTAGGCATGCAGGTAAATGCTCCTTTGAAAGATTGACATACATACCACTCAATTCCTATACAATTGCATATATAACACCCTAAACTTTAATTTTACCCATCCACCTTAACTATGTATGAAAAAGGCATATTACGCTTTTTTCAATGTTAAAATGATGATATTTTTATATGATATGAAAGATTTGAGTGGTATTAATGTAAAAAATCAAAGTTTTAGGCATTTAGGTGAGTGCCCCTTCTTTGAAACATTTGCATACATACCTCTTGATTCCTTGTGCAACTACATATCTAACACCCAAAATTCAATTTTTACCTATGTGCCTCCTAAATTATGTATGAAACGGCATATTCACTTTTTTTACATGTTAAAAGAGTGGTACTTCTCATATGATATGAAAAACTTGAGTGGTATTAATGTATAAAATCAAAGTTTAGATGTTAGGCATGTAGGTAAATGCTCCTCAGCCCCCTTCTTTGGTAAATTTACATACATACCATTCAGATGCCATGTAATTATGTATCTAATACCCAAACTTCAATTTTTACCTATAAGCCACCTTAACTATGCCTGAAAAGGCAAAGTTTGGGGCATTTACATGCATGCCACCCAATACCTATTTATTTACATATCTAACATCAAATAACATCAAAAATATCAGAGTTTTAACTTTTAAAAACTGAAATACACCCTTTCATGCATAGGAAAGGAAGCATTCATGATGTAAAAAATTGAAGTTCTGGTGTTAGATATGTAAATACATAGGAATTGAGTGGTTTGTATGCAAATCTTCCAATGTTTAGTATGTATGTAAATGCCCCTTTTTTTTTAATTGAAACATCCTGACTTACAGAAGCATTTTCTCCTTTTTTTTTTCTTCTGTTGCAATGAAGATCTTTGCCTATCAAGCAGAGGCCTTTCTGATGGTACTCAGACAGGAAGATGCAGAGGAAACCATGATCGATGCTCCCAAATTCGAAGCCGATGCCGCCACGCAGTTCTTCGGCGGCCCCAGCAATGCATATCAGCTTTCAGTGCGAGCGCAGGTGGATATGGTTGCAGGGAGGTTTGAGAGCGCCGTCTCGCTCGCTCAAATGGCTGCGCGGATCGATCCCGGCAGCAGGGAGATCGCCGCCGTTGCTCGGAAGGCTCGGGCCCTCCTGGCGTCAGCTCGATCCATGGGTAATGATCTCTTCAAGGCCTGCAAGTATGAAGACGCGTGTCTCGCCTATAGCAATGGCCTCAACCATGACCCCCATAACACAATCCTGCTGTGCAACCGAGCCGCCTGCCGGTCGAAGCTCCGGCAGTGGGAAAAGGCCGTTGAAGACTGCGACGCCGCTCTTCGTTTGCGCCCTAAATACAGCAAGGCTCGCCTGAGGAGAGCTGACTGTAATGCCAAGGTGAGGATAAGCTTTTCTTTTGTAGCTCCTTTTAGAGTTTTTAGGGTTGTTGATTGTGGAAGATGAAGGTTGTGACATGTTGAATGTTGGATTAGTTGGAGAGATGGGAGACTTGTGCGGAAGATTATGAGATGTTGGCGGCTGAAATGGCTGGAGATGAGACGGTGAGGAAAGCCTTGCAGGAAGCTAGAGGGCATCTAAGGCGGCGAAAGAGTGGAGGTGTTACAGAGGTGGAAGAAGATGGCCCTGCGGTTGTTCATATCGGTAGTGAAGAGCAGTATCATTGTGCTATCGCATCGCATGGTACGCACGTTTCATTAGCATTGGAGATTTCTTTTCTTTCTTTTTCTTTTCCTTTTTTTTTTTTTTTTTTTATAAATTTACATACATATCACACAAATTTTATCTATTTACATGTTTAACTTCAATTTTTACATACATATGCCACCTATTGTAAATAATAAGAATTAAGTGATATGTATGAAAGCCCAGGAAAAACTTGATTTATGTAGGTCTATATTGGAGTCTAACGGCCTTCATTTGAGTAGAACTAAAATTGAATACATGGAATGTAATTTTAGTAGTAGTAGTTCTAGTGATAGAAGTGTAATTTTGGGTGATCAAATTATTAAAAAGTGTGAACGATTTAGATATCTCGAGTCTATTGTTCGAAGGGATTGTGATATAGATGGGGATGTTAATAGTAGAATTCAAGTTGATTGTTTGAAGTGGAGGAATGTCTCGGGCCTTTTGTGTGATAAAAAGTACTGTTTTGACTGAAAGGAAAATTTTATAAGATGGCGGTGAGAACTGCAATGCTCTATGGCGTTGAATGTTGGCCTTTAAAATAGAAGCATAAAACTAAGTTATGTGTTGCTGAGATGAGAATGATTAGGTGGATGAGTGGCTTTACACTTATGTGAAATGAATATATTCGTGATAGGGTTGGTGTAGCTCCAGTGACGGATAAAATTAGAGAGAGTCGTCTTAGATGTTTTGGTCACATTAAACGTCAACCATCTGATGATCTGAATAGAAGAGTGGATGTTTTAGATTCGACTTATGTTAAGAAAAGCGGAGGTAGACCTAGGAAGACTTGGGCTTATTTTATAAAAAAATGATCTTAATTTATTAGAACTAAATGAAAATATGACACTAAATAGGACGCAATGGAGAAAATTGATTCATGTAGCCGACCCACGTAGTGGGATTAAGGCTTTGTGGTTGTTGATGTTATATGTAAATCTTCCTTTTTTATTGTTATAAATTAACTTTTATAAAGAAAATTATTTATAATGCCAACAACAATTTAAAAAGTAAAGTTGATTTCTGTAAAAAAGTTGTATTTCTCGCAAATAAACCCTAAATAGGCCTAATGATAATGCATATAATTCACATGATAACAATTCTCTTGTTAGAAGTAACAGATGTTGTCAACTGTTAGGTCTCAAGAAAGCGAAACCACAAGTTATATATTATTTATAGGATAGATTTGCAATACTACTGAGGTAAATTCAGTTTTTGTGCAAATGCATAATTCATGGTATTTATATTTACCAGGGTTGTTGTTGGCGCTATTCTATGAACAATCAGATGAAAATTATAAAGGAATATTGCATCATCTAGAGCAGCTCTGCAAGCGACACACATCTGTTGCTTTTCTCAAGGTACCCTCTCTTTTTACATACAGACCACACAATTCTTATTTATTTACATGTCTCACACCTACACACTCATATTTACATGCATACCCCTCAAATTTTAAACATCACACTAAAAACATCGCCATCACTATCTTTTTGAGAGCGAAATACATCTTTTCATGCATAGATTTATGCCACCAATTGTTATGAGCGTAAATATCAAACTTTGCGTGTTAGATATGTGAATACATATTAATTGTGTGGTATGTATGTAAATTTCCCTACAATAAATCATTACAGTTTGAATTTTTGGTAAGAAAGTTGTGGGCTACGTGCTAGCTTTAAATTAAATTTATGGGTTCAAGGAAAACAAAAGAGATGAAGGAATATAAAGATATGTAGCTTTAAATTAAAGGGGGCATTTACATACATTACACACAATTCTTATGTATTTACAAATATCACACCTAAACTTTCATACTTACACGCAGCACTCAATTCTTTAATATCACATCAAAAATGAAACCATGGCCACTTTTAAAAGACTAAAGCACCAAAGTCCTATGCATGTAAATATGAAGCCTTAGGTGTGAGATATGTAAATATATAAGATTAGTGTGTTACATATGCCAAATTCCCTAAATTAAACATTAGTGTTTTTTGGCATATTTCTTAAGTTTTTTTTTTATTATTATTATTTCTATTTTCTCTCTAATATGCATATAGGTGAACATAGAGGAACAAGCTAGCATTGTAAAAACACAAAATGTGAGCTCAGTGCCTATCTTCAAATTATACAAGAATGGCTCCAACATAGAAGATATTGCATGTTCTGATAAACAGCAGCTAGAGAGGACTCTCCAGAGTTTTCAGCAGATGAAAGGAGAGCCCCTTCAAAGGCATTAAAAGATTGAAATATTCATACAATCAAAGCAAAAGATTGTACATTCATGGGTCGAGAGGCCGAAGAAATGGTAAAATTGAAGGACATATGTGCAAACTTGTTGTTTTATTTTGAACATATGTTCTTCAGATTTGTTGTTTTATTTTGATTTCTAGACACAAAATTATATTAGAAGCTTACTACTTAATAATATATCATATTGAGGATAACTTATATAGTTTTGGATATGTAAAAATTGTTGATTTTTGTTTCTAAATTTCGATTTTTACATACATGCCACATTTTGATTTTGTTTCGCTTATAATTAGGGGTTTTTTTTTTTTTAATTAAAATGCTAGAAAGACCAAATGTTCGTTGAAAGAATATAGCATAATGTGTTTAATTATAGAGGCATTTTACATACATAACACACATTTCTTGCATATTTACATATCAAACACTTAAACATTCATATTTACATGCATGCCACTCAAATCTTGTTTCCCCTTATTTGTTACATTGTTGTATGTTGCAACTATTAGCGGTTAATTTTTTTATTGAAAATGCTAAAAAAGACCAAATCTAAATTTTTAAGACCGAGAACTCTTCCAATGAACTGTCATTTTTGCATATCAATATTTATCCCACCAGTTGTAAGAAATGGTCTCTCATGTTCCTCCCTAGGGTGTGTGTTGGGTTTTTCTAAGTCTATGACTAGGTATCACTAGATTCTTCAAGCTCAAGATCAAACTTTATAGGACTACTCTCTTCTTTAGGGGTGACTTCCAAATTTTCCCCATTGCTAAGTTTCATAATTTGCACTTGCTCCTTACCTCCTTCTACATGATTCACTTCTATGTGACTAGATATGATCCCTTAGGGACCTTTGTTTAAATGGTTAGCTAACTGCCCAATTTGATTCTCTAGGCCTTTCATGGTTGCAGCTTGATTTTATAACTAGCTCCCCATGTTGACTACCAAATCTTCCAAAGATAATTCATCCTTCCTAATTTAGGGATTATAAGTGAGTTCAAATGGGTAAGTTCTAATATTGTCACTACCCTAGTTATTTCAATTTTATTGTAAGGAGTACATAAAACTCAAACCCAAGTCAACCAGTCCTTGCAATATATTGTGATCCTTATTGTTCAATACAATCTTTTGTATATCTCCCTCATACAAGCGCACTTAATATCTCATCACAACCTCTCCAAAATCATAAGAAACAAACCCATAAATCTTTCCCAAAGAAAATCATTGGAGAAATCCTTAGAATTGGCAAAGACTCAACTAGAACTTGAAAAGAAACAGTCTCCACAATGCTAAGTGTCGTACCCAAGCTCTCCTTATATAGCTCTTGCCAAAAATTTCATGAAAAATCATGGCAAAATAAGAATGTGGTTGACGATAGGGGTGTAAACGAGCTAAGCTTCATTAATTTTATCGAGCTCGAGCTCGAGCTTAAATCTACGAGTTTGAGTCGGCTCGCAAGACGGCTTGTTTAATATAAAAGAGAGAAAATGAATTTTAATTTAAGCTAGTTTAATAATAATATGACAAATGGAATGAACAACTAGAACATAAATAATAAGAAATCACCCAATATACAATATAAAATATCATTTTTTTAATATTTTTAATATCTTGAGGATAAAGTCTTAAAATTTAATGTGTTTTGAGTATATTCTACATTAATATTTTTTAAACAAGCCAGCTCACGAGGAAACAAGTCGAGTCGTGGTTGGCTTGAGCATGGCTTGTTAGCTCATCGAGCTAGTTTCACAGGCCACTTACCAGGTCAAGCTCGAATCGGCTCGACTCAAACCCCTAGCTGATGATGGTATAGCCATTAGAGCTGTCAAAACGGCTCGTTGTTCGCGAACAGCTCGTATTCGGCTCGTTAAGAAACTCGTGTTCGGCTCGTTAATTTCGTTCGATAAGTTAACGAGCCAAACACAAACTAAGATGTGTTCGTTCGTGTTCGGCTCGTTTTGGCTCGAAATACATATACATATATATATATATGTATATATATATATATA